CCGAAACGCGCGTGAAGCACTTCACGGGTTTTTCACCATGCGCACGGTGGTAACAAATCAGGCGGGTGTTAGGCACCCTACCACCAGCAGAGCGGATGGAAGCTCCAATATTCCTTAGTTGCCTCTTACGACACCCACGGAAAGAGAAGGGGCGGTGAGTTGTATTCTTTCTCCGTCACCGCACGGACTGCGGTGATAAAGTCGCTAGCACTATACGAAGTCCTGGTCTGGGCGAAGTGCCTGTCGTTCCGCACGAGGGCCCTCTTACGCGGTCCGCGGAGGATCATCACGGCCCGGGCCGTGCGGGCTTACCGCACTGTGAAGGATAATCACAGGTTACCTCCTTGCAACATCGCAAAACTTTTAGAGATCAGTTATTTCAATACAAACTAAACCACCCTACCTGCCCGGTTTATGTATCTACAAGCTTTATTTGCTCCCAATAATAGATCTTTATCGATGAAATTGCCGTTCTGCGGTACTGGCTATTTCAAGTACAATCTTTTCTTGTTTCGCTAAGATTTTTTTAGTTATTTTTTTAATGGTGAGCGTTCTGTTTTCAGAACAATTGTACGCTTTTTGTCATCATGGCCAGAAATTCGAGTGATTATGGAGAATGAGTACCGTCGCGGCAGCAAAGCGGCAGAAGCGGCACGCAACATCTATGACGTATACGGAGCGAACACTACTCACGATCGCACCACCCGTAATTGGTTTGCCCGCTTCCGTTCTGGAGATTTCGACCTAAGAAATGAACCCCGTGTTCTACCGAAAACTATAGTGGTCAATGACGAATTAAAGACGATTGTGGAAGCTGATGATTTTAAATCTACAGCTGAATTAGGAGCAGCTTTCGATGAAGCATCAAAACAATATTGGTCCATTTGCGTCAAATTGGCAAGATAAAAAAACTTGAGAAATGGGTGCCCCACGATTTGAATGAGCGCCAGCGCGCAATACGCATCGAGTCGAGCCTTGCACTGATCAACAGGCATACAAACGAAGCCATATTGACTTGCATTGTTACTTGCGACGAAAAATTTATTCTTTTCGACAATAGCAAGCGCTCAGCAAGTTGGTTAGATCCTGATTCAGCAGCTAAACAATGCCCCAAACGAAAACTATCCCCTAAAAGATGATAGTGAAGTGAACAGAACAGAATGATGGAGAAACTCGCTTTGGTCAAAAGTTTGGCTCCGCTGGTCCTGCACGACAACGCGCGCCCTCATACTGCACCGCAGACGGTCTCCAGGTAACAGGAGCTGGGGTTGGAAGTACTCCGTCATCCACCGTACTCACCAGACCTTGCCCCTACAAACTTCTACTTTTCCTAAATTTGTATAACTAACTTCTTAGCGGAGAAAACATTCAATAACCGAGAGGCAGATCGAAATGCCTTCGAAGAATTTATTGCCTCCCATCCAGCAGACTTTTTCAAAAAAGGCATCAATAACCTACCACTGTGATGGCATAAATGCATTGATTGCATGGGTAGGCAATTACTTTGATAATAAAACTAAAAAATAAAGAGCGTTAACTTATTTCATGAAAAACGGCAATTCCATAGGTATATTTTATCGAAGTAGGTAGTGACTGTATCCCTCACTTAATTTTATTTATATTTAATTATTTACCTTCGTTTTCGGCGTCTTCATCGGTCATCTTCCATAACTGCTGTTAGTGATAGAAATTCTACGTCTGATGATAAATCAATATCTATATTTATAGAACACTCGTAACCGTCGGTAAAACCAGCCCTTGGCCACATAAACAATGTAAAGTCCACACCTTGGCGTACTAACGATATCGCAGCTGTGTGGGATCGCATGCGTTCCAATCACAGAACACAAAAAGAGGTTCTTTCCGTGTTTTGTTGTTCCAATATATATGTTCTAAGAACTTATTTCAGAATAACGCAGAACGCAGGAACGCAAGCATCTTACTTCTTTTGCATCGTTATGAGTAACTTCGTAGCCTTGATACATTAATGTACTTAACACAGATATCGCAATAACGCATCTAGTATTATGAATCGACAGTAACGCGGCTATGGGGGAGAGCATTTATTGTAGAACTAGCTTTTGCCCGCGACTTCGTCCGCGTTTTCGTCGTTTTTCGTAAAAAAGTAGCATTTGTCCTTCCTCAGGGTTCCGTGGTTTTGATGTGACAGACAGATGAACTTTCGTATTTTATTAGGGAAATATAATAGTGTTAAAAATATCGCAATAAAGAACCGCAGAATATTATTATTATCACTGTGCCCCGAGACCATCAGCGTGTAACTCCTTGTATGTTATTATGTTAATGTATTGGTAATATTGTTTAGATCGCTTTCACATGAGTCTTAAGTACATATAGAATGAAAATACTTCAGCGCAAAGCTTCCGGGTAAACTACGTTGAAATTTGAGCCGTCCGGCACGTGAACATAAAAAATTCTAGGACTGCTAACCCGGGAAAGACCGACATAACTGACCATGTGAAAAACAACTGACACCGAGATCTACTCCAACAACACGAAAAGTCTGCCCTTGAGCCTTATTTATTGTCATTGCATAACACACCGATACTGGGAATTGCGTTCTTTTAAATTGGAATGGAAAATTATTTGGTATTATGGGAATTCTGGGAATAAAGATGGTTTCTCCTGCACCGCAACCTATTAAAATTTGAGCCTCGATTACATTTTGTTGCAACTGGGTTACTTTAAGCCGAGTTCCATTGCAAATTTGTGGTGGTCTTAAATTTCGGAGCAGAATAATCGGAATGGCAATTTTTAAACAAATTTCATGAGAAGGAAGTCCGGGCATATTTAAAGAATTTAAAAATTCTATCGGGTAATAAGTGGCTTCTTGTTCATCGGCCATTCTATTTATTGAACTATAAACTTTGCTTTCCCCCTGGATATTCGACAGTATTTTATTATTAATCTCAGATGCCTGGTCATTGCGAGGAGTTAAAATGGACCTTTCGCATAGCCAAGAATTGTTCTTATTTAATATATTTGTTACGTCACCGTAAACTGACGATGTAAGATGTTGTTGGGATTGCACTATACAACATAATTCAGGCGTCAGAATAAGTTTTCCTTGGTGTAGCAGTGGATAGGTATCTTTGGTGAAGGTATTTTCTTTAATAATATATCAGAAAATTCACGATCATCCGGGTTATCTAGAGTTCTCACTCGCATGTTTTATAGTCAAATGCACCGATTGTATATAACGCCACAAATAAGAGCTTTTCAGGCAAGCCCTAACCTCAGCAGCTCGGGTTCCCCGTGGTATTACCGGTAAGGTTTGTCGGAAATCACCACAAAATAAAACTGTGATACCGCCCATGGGTCGATCATTTTGTCTTATATCTCTTAAAGTTCTGTGTACCGCTTCTACTCCTTTTCGATGGGCCATCGTACATTCATCCTATATGATTAAATTACACTTTGAACGAATATTTAAACACTACCAAAACAACTAATACGTGGTCCTAACCTTAGCTACCTTACACATAAAATCTAAGTGACTATTTGAACTAAAATATTCTTATAGAATTATAACCAGAAATATATACAACTCACAACAAAAAAGAAATGAAAATAAAGCTGAAACGCCTGTGCAATACCATCTACCTACACCTACTTCACTTAAAAATAAATACTTATAACTACTTTAATTAATAAAAGTACCTACGCTTAATAATTTTTAATTTGAACGAATATTTAAACACTACCAAAACAACTAATACCTATTATACAAAATCACAACAAAAGAAATTCAAATAAACTATTTAAAGACTAAAAGTCGCGCTGATAAGCACGGTTTCGGTCTCCCAGGCGGGGGAGCAGATGAGAAATCCTCATGGATACACAGCCGGCTGCAAGGTTATGTCAGACTCGTACTGACTAAAAAACACCCGTAGGGGCTGCCTCTGGCCGGGAAGGCCTCTAAGGCTTCATCGGAAGCGATCGTCCCCCAGGGGGGGAGCGACGCAGAAAACAGATTTAGACAGCTCGCTCTCGGACCTTTGATACCCTACCGCTGCCGCGACCCGTGTCGAGCGCGGCAACCGTTACACAAAAATAATCCTTATAGCATGATTCAGTATTCACGTGCGACGGCGCGATGGCTTATTTCATGTATAAGTTTGGTGTTTCTATACCGAGTATTATAAACGTAAGAGTAAACAAATATGATCAGAATGCTCCGAACTGCTAAGCTATCGGGAGTTACACGTGTTATTGTGAGTCAACCATAAAAGATAGACATATGCTGTTGCGGGATATTTTTTAGACAATTTTATTTAGAATATTTCCGTCATACATGATTTCTATAAGGAACATACACAGAGACAGACAGACAGACAAAAAATTTACTGATTGCATTTTTGGCATCAGTATCGATCACTAATCACCCCCTGATAGTTATTTTAAAAATATATTTCATGTACAGAATTGACATCTCTACAGATTTATTATAAGTATAGATAATAGTAAGTATAAATTAATATGTTTGTGTAAGATTATATGTCTCTCAAATGCAAATAATAAATACTTTCAGGATAATTATTTAGAGATCTTGACAAGGGTTATGGGCAGAAAATAGTCAGCATAACGCTAAAATTTCTAGTAACTAGATATAGTTACAATTTAACCTACTTGAGGTCTAACCTACACTATTACCTACAATATAAAATTTGGGGTTTGCATTTAAGTGAAACCTGAAACCATAGCATCCTGTGAACCAGGCAGCGCCATCTATGGTTTGGATTTTAAACCACTCTATATTTATTACACAATTTAGCATCATTGCCAGCAGCACTTCATAGGATTTATTTGCCTAGGCCTAGCTAGAGTACGAATTCTCAGCAATATTATTTTGAGCCTGAACACTTGAACATGCTTTATATTTAGTTATTACCTATTAAATGACCAACTTGGTCTTAAGCAGCGAAATCATAGAATTGTTTATATTTTACAAATAAGTGTTAAAATGAAACTGCCTAAAATGGAAACAATAAATATATTTATTATTCAATTATTTTAATTTTGGGGAAAATAAACATACAGTCCCACAAAAACACCACGAATGAAGTAATGAATCTACCCTATAGCCTGAAAATTATAAAGATATTAAATACAATGTCATTTTATTAATATACTTTGTCATAATTAAAACATATTGTTTGCATAATCAGAATATTCCATGGGGTCTTGGTAGACAAATTAAGATTAACTTAAATGCAGGTATATCGTCATACATAAATAATTATGTTTACTCAATAATAATGGAATATACCTTTTAATAAAATATAATGCATTCCTCATAAAAATTATAAGGTATTCCATAATTTAGTCTATTCATTATTTAGCGGTATAAAAAATCCTTTTTTTCTTTTAACAAACATCTAAAATATTTTTTCCACAAACATTTCCTCAATTCATCATATGTCTTATTTGCGGTATATTAATGTAATATACTTATTCTTTAATTTATATTTTGTTTTTATCAAGCATATATACCAATCCTATTCTTGGTTAGAAAAAAAATGAACATGCGTAATCCTTATCCTTACTAATAATATAAATGCCAAAGTGAGTTTTTCTGTCACTTTGTTTGTTTGTAACGCTTTGACGCCTAAACCGCTAATTGGATTATGATAAATTTTGGTATACAGATAGATGGGACCTCGGAGACAGTTATAGGCCACTATTTCACAAAAACCTTATAAAGGGTGGGGTTAGTGAAGTGTAACCTTTGTATGAAACCTTTTATTAAGCTGTTTGATTTGCTTCAAACTTCCCAGATTTGTTGTTCATAATATGCATGTAATTAAAATAAGGCTCAAATTAATTGTATATACATTTATTACTTTTGAATTGTCCTTCCATTATCCAATACTTTTTCATAAAATTTCTTATTGTTCAAGAAATATAATAATGAAAGGGAAATTCAAATATCTGAAACGCGTCAAAGCGGTTGTGAGTAATACATAACAACAAACAAACAAGTGCCATGTTCACAGGATATTTCAAAGTCAACGAAACTTAGTGCAAGTGTGTAGTGTGTATGCACCTGACCTACTAATATTGTTGCTAGGTTGCTATAGAGCAACTCAGCTCTGCACAGCTCACATTCGCACAGCTTTAATGGAAAAACTTGCCTATTTACACATTTCGGCTCTGCTCAATTCCGCACAGCTATGCTTTTGTGGAAACACACTAAATGTGTAGATATTTGGCAATATTTACAATCAACACAAAACAAAGAAGTTCATATCCCGCTGAGTATCCAAATTATCTTAAGCTATTGTGTATTGCCCTCGCATTAACAAACAAACTCCAATTGAAATTAGGTGTACTAGTTATATTATGTAAAATACATATGAACTATGTAATGAGCATGCACATAACATAGTATCTACATAACAGCATCCATTAATAATGCTTGTTTTTGTGTCCGTGATTGTATCCACCAAGTACAAGAAAATTTAATAAGAGATGTTTAATAAGGTATCTTCAATTCTTGGTGTGGCAGAACATTGCAGAACCAGTAAATGTACTTTTGGTTATTTTTTTCTTATTGCAAGTATTATATTATTATATCTGCTCCTGTCAAAAGATCTAATATGAATCAGAACATTAGCGCAAGCGATGCCCTGGGCAATAGCTATATAGTACAGTTTTACAAACAAACACTTTATACCATAGACAATGATCCCATGACCAAGTCTAGTAGTAAATGCCTGCTTTCATCAGATATTTTTAATAAATCAACATAATAAAATATTAACATGACATTAAAAAGAACAGAATGGTGTGGTTGCCACTTTGAAGGAATCTGGTAAATTGAGAATCTTGATTAACCATTTTTTATAGAATCACACAAAGGTAAGGCAAGGTGACTATGAAGATTTTATTGCAAATTTTGTGAAGATACCTTGAAAATAATAAATGACAGCTTTACAGATCTCAGTTAACAGGAGCAGTATATTAAAAACAGACCTTTATCTTTATAAATGCATTGTAGAGGAATATGTGAAATTCAGCAAAAAGGCAAGGGATTTGGGGCTTAAAGTGTAACACCACCATGAACTTAATTGTACAAATGATATCAACACACTGCTTCCTTTAACTGATCCCAAGTTATGGGTTAATAATAACCTACAACTCAACATAAAAGAACTCTTAAATCACAAAGGATGAATTGCAACAAAACACAAATATATGTTACATTTATAATAATATTAACAAGTCTAATATACATGAACCATTCCATATATAAATGTCCAGAACAATACATAAGTGAATAGTGCTCCGAAGAATCCATTCGTCAATAAGCTTTGTCTTGATACATAGTACTTATGCCAATTGGGACCCGCTTTTATCATGAACATTACCCAAAGAGTGATGACTGACAAAACGTAGAATGCAAAGCCATTGAGACCTGTCAGACCTAATACTCCTGAAAAGTAAAATGAAATGGATGAGAATGTAAACTAATTAATTATAATTATAATAAAACAATTTGTGTCGACAATGCAAAGGTAACATTATTAAATACTTAAATTATAGTGCTTATTCTATTTATTTAAAATGTTACTAGCAAACCAACGGTAGATTACCAGTTGACCGACTTTGTAGATACTAAAAAGAGAATAGTAAATCACCGTTTTTTGTTTGTTTTCTACGTATTATAGTGAACTACAATAACAGTACTACTGTCTTTTAATCCTTAGTTAGTCTGTTTTACATATTTCGCACAAAGTTACAATTATAATGCGATTCAAATAAGAATAGGAAAGCCAATGACCTCCATCTGTCAAATCTAGCTTGAAAAGTACGGTTTGCAAAAAAATCTTGAAACTCTTTTTTTAGCACTTAGCTGATTCTAGAATAAAAACCAAACATTTTTAAACAAACAATAACAAATGATGATAATTAATTTTTTTTTTTTTTTTTTCACTTATTGAGTATTGGCTATGAATGGTTGATAACCTAAATCGTCAACCAAATGTCACTTTATGTTGCGTTTAGAAACTTGATTTAAAACTTTCGTTTACATATAGGATGCATGTTCGTTTGTGACCTGCATGATTATTCATAACTTCTCCGGCGGTATGCAAAGATGAGCGAAATTGCTGAGCTAGATTCTGATTAATGTTTTTTTTCACACAGTCTTAATAAATAAATACTGTTAAAAATCGATTGTGTTCTTTCTCAACCTTAGTAAATTAATTTTATTAAAAAATCTGATGTTATTTCTCACTTAATCTTATTATATAAGTTTTATTGAATAGCAAAATTTTTTTGCTCACTCTACCTATTTGGTTTGAATTGACAGCTATGACGTCAATATATGGCGCCCAGTCGGTCCTATTGTTAGTTGAATCGCATTATATGTTGTTAAACTTACCAGCAGTAGATCCTGAAAGTGCTGCCATCGAAGTTCGACAATATTCCACGACAATAGCATTATTTCTTAGGGCAGCTTCACTATAGGCGATGGGCTCAGTTTTATTATCTTTCGATTTCGTTGTTCCAGACATAACGAATAAGTAATTTTCTTTTAATTTGCTATTTTAATTTTAACTTGACTGCTCGACCATCACCAGAAGTAATTTATTTTGACAGGTAGATGTCATGGATATTTCATTTTTTTAACATTTTCCCTTATTAAAGAAGGCAAAGGCAACTATGCCCATACAGCCTAGTCTTCAGTTTTCTGTTATTTTTTTACATTAGAATGTGGGTGTTTTAATGTATCTTGGAGTATTTGGCACGAAATGTATCGAGTCAGCTTTCTCGATAAGCTTCTGTGAGGTAGTCAACACTATAATAAAGTTCTCCCATCCACTTGACCGGAATAGCATATATTTTAAAGATTCCACTAATCCTTCAGTTGTACAGACATTTGTGACACAAAATCACACCAATTTTATTCGTCAACCGCACTTTAATGAAATCTCGCACAAGGAACTTAAATATCTCGCCAAAAATTCATCGTTTTTTTGGTCAATTTGTCCCTGTTGGGACGGGCAAAAGATTGTGAATCTGTCTGTAAACTTTAACTTTTTTTTTTTCGTTACTGGGAATGCACAGACTACAGAGCCCGTACAACCTCGTCGTTACTTTTGTGACACATTTACTTCTATTTTTATTTTATTTTTAGTGTAGCCCAAGAAAGAATGTAGCTCTGAGAGATTGTGTCACCCACAGTTCCTTTAGATAATAGATTAACACTTAGGAAAACACTTATGATATAATTTAGTAAACTTTATTGAATTGGTAAAATTATGGTCTACAAAATGAAAATGCAGCCACTGGTATCAATTCTGGTATGATTCTCATCATAAGATTTCATTTATTTCTCAATGCTTACCTACCATCTTTGCTGTTTCACCGTTAACCTTGTCAAAATTGTAAAACGACTTTCCCACTTAAAATATGGTCAATAAATTCTGAAAAATTTAAAATATGCCCTGCTTTACACCGCTTGCATAAGCAATCCGATTAATTTTATATCTCATAACGATCGAATTAAAAAATAATTGGATTTAACACTTTTAAAACTATATCACAATAAACATAGCCTTAACGTGACCTAGCTACACTATTTGACGGTTATTTTGTGCTGCCAATACCAGCAATACCATTAGTTCCTCAGACATTTTTTTCTTGACTTTATTGAAAGACTGTACTTTTAGTCAAGGCTGTATGGCGCATTTTGTCGACTTTGCCTTTTCCGTTTGATAGACGGAGAGAACAAAACCAAAAAAATATAGTTATGTGCATAGACACGTCGTATGTCAAGTTAGATATTTCAAATTTATCGCGCCAAATATATTATTTTAGCAAATTGGCAGGAATGGCAATAAAATTAGACTTTTCTATTCATTATATCCATTTAATAAGTTTAGCTAGCGGATTTTCTTGGCCCTGGCAGGATCTTTGCTTTAATCCTAATTATTTAGCCACAATTACTTGCCTATGGCCACAGGTAGCTAAATTATTCAGATACCTTTATTTTGCATTGGGAAGCCAGTTCTAAGACATTTTTATTTGGGTTTATATTTAAGGATATGTACATTATTTATATCAACGGTATATTATGTAGGTAGGTAGGTGCTTCAATACAAATTGTATTAAACAATAGACAACACAAGCTAGTTAAAAAAAACCGTACCGATACTCGATAGAAGCACGCACACACACATCTGTAAGCCATTTCCATGTTGGTTTTCGCGGTATGGTGTGCATGCAGAGCGTCGTTGTATTTAATTTCCCTACACCGATTATTGTTGGGTGAAGCTATTACAGACCTGCTCTAAAGTGGTGATATTTTTAAAGTTATTGATTGTCCTTTGAATAGTCTTTAGGAAGTGAACAATGAACCGCTATTATTATTTATTCCTGCAATGATAATGGCGCGCGTGAGATAGGGTGCAATTGCTTCTTTCTCGAACATAGTGGGACTTTGTACGAATGTCAATTCGTCGTTGCAACATTTAATTAATGTTTTTGTATTGGATTAGTTTTTCTTACTTAAATCTGTATTCAGAACGGTTACAAATGCTGTAGTGATTGTGTAAAAAAGAAAACCAAGTTCCGTTTTCAATTGATGTACCAAAGAGACTGTATAGCACAAGGAGTTGCTTAGCTCAAATTACCCTTGCTGAGGTCATTTATAAGGCAGTAAACGATGGTAAGTCCTTTTTGTAATTTCTAATTCATAATTTTGCCTAGTTGTAGCTGAAATAACAAATAATTTCAATCAAATAATTAGATAACCTATTTATTTGTGATAATAAACTTCATTTCGATTCTTTTGTTTCAGTCTTCAACCGTAGGGTGATTTTGATTATCTGAGTCCATAGATGAGCCAAAAGCGTTACTTTTACTAATTATAGTGTGTATTAAATTGTTAGAAAATGATAAATGTTGTCAAAATTCATATTTCGATTTTTGTCTCTCCAAAATTTCGTTAGACTTCGAGGTTTGTTCTACTTATATTAGAATGGACGATTCTGAAGACAATTCAAGTGCTGGTGATACTAAAATGCGGCACACTCCATCATCCGGTAAGTCTAAACAAAAGAAGAGGTCTCTTGTTGAACGGGAACTGGAAACAAACTTGACAGCTCATGTCACTTCTCCTGTGACCATTGACGAGGTTTGCAACACTAGCCGGTATGGCAGAGCCCTACGTGTTAAAAAAGATTCAGATTTCATGGATACTGAGAGATTTATGACAAAATCTGCGAAGTCACCAACTAGAGAAAAAATACCTGAAACTATGCAGTCTTCTCCAGTTTACAAAATGCATGCATCAAATTCACCCATCAAAGGAGAAAGAGGAAAAACAGATATGATTGTTTCACTTGAATCCAGTTTGGATAGTCAAATCGAAAATATATATAATGAAAATATGTCTCTCAGTCGTTTCGGTTCTAGTGAGAAAAAAAGACCATCCACTAGCTTCCCTAAAGTGTATGTCAGAAAAGATTTAATCCAAAATAGAGAGAAAGATGATACTGTTCATTTAATAAAGAACATGTTCTCTCCTGGTAGTGGTAAAAAATCTACTAATAGCCATCTAAAGAATATATTGGAACGGTCTTCTGAAAAGTATAATTTAAAGAGTAGTGGAAAGAAATCTGTAAACTCTAATGCTTACATGAATACATCTTCTGTTGTGAAGACTCTTGACTTCGATAATAATAAAAATAAAAGAGTTAGCATGGATAAAGTTGTACCCTCAAAGAGTGATCTATTTGATTTGGAAGCTAGGTGTGAATATCAAGTCGGAGATCTGGCTTGGGCAAGAATGGGAACATATCCGTTTTGGCCATGCATAGTTACTAGAGAACCATCAAGTGGAATGTTTGTTAAAAAGAAATGTAAGTTGATTTAAATTTAAGAAACTTAACTTTTTATTATTACAATCATATAAAAATGCAATTCTAAAGCTTACAATAAGACAATTTTTTAAAATTAATACATTTTACAGTCTCAACATGTATTTCTTAAATTTTTACAAAGTATGTTAATTTATAACCTTTGTGATTACAGTGTTTGGCCGCATTGAACATGATATTATACACGTGACATTCTTTGGTGACAATGGAAGGCGCAGTTGGATTGTTGACAGCATGCTGAGAAAATTCCTCGGGCAGTTAGAGTTTGAGGCCACTAGGGAGCATTTTGGTTCTTCGGTAAGAGATTTATATGTTTATTATTTTCAAACTTGGTTACATTATGGCAAAAAAAAGCTAAGACAAAAAGCACATAAAACTATTATCAGAGATGCAGCTCTATAAAAGTAGGTGCATGAACAGTAGATGCACATAAATGGAAATCTTAGACACAAAATAAAATTTACAAAACGTCTAATATATAATATAACATATTATTCTGTCGCATGATGATGCATCAAGATGAAAAGAGTAAATATTTAATCTTGACTAATTAAGAATATGAAATAAATTATGAATATGAAAAATTTGTGTGTACAGGTCACCTTGGCTATCTGTTTAATACAACAAATAACTAGGCAATTGTCATAGAAAAATAAAAAAAGAGGTTTTATGTGGGACAAGAAAATTGTGCTTTAAAGCAATATGGATAGGTTGAAATAAAATTAAAGAATACACGGCGCCAGACCTACCTCAATAGAGTAGCTGGAAGTGCATTGAACTATTAATCGGGGTTAAATTGTAACTGTTTATACGAATTTTATTATACTCACTTTGGGATGGGACCAATATTTTTTTTCAATTTAGAAGCTAGGTACAATTATCATCTTATATTTAGAATCTATACCTGAATTTTACATTATGGAATAATTTTCTCTCACCAGATAAATTCCTTTTTTGTAAAAATTTACATGCACTTACTGTCCCCGCTGCATCTTTGTTGGTAATCATAAGGATTATCTTAAAGAAAAATTTGATTAAGTAATCACGTTGTGAAGTGACGCTAATTTTTTTTCCTTTCGTTCTTTCCAAAAAGCAAGTAAATGAATCTGTCTGGATAAAGCCTTGTTTGGCCAAAGAAAATATAAAACCGCATGGACTAGCGAAAACGATCTATGGTAAAGGAGAACGAGTGAGACAACTTATTCAGAGAGAGGCCTTCTGTCTCTCTCTTCAACCAAACAAAACTCATGTTACGTTTTTAACACGTTAGACAATGTATAGAATGCCTAGAGCGTCTAGGCAATGTATGAAATAGTATAAATATTATTTTCCATTAAATACTTTGCCCAGGTAATATATACAACGGGATTGTATAGTGTACCTGCTGGCAATGTGTAAAAAAAACAGATTTGTCCTGTATTTATCCTAGCCTACCCAGTTGGATGCAAAACATCGGACGGATTATATAATTTTCACCGAATGAACTACAGACCAATGAAAGTTTCATCAACTCACAGTGGGTAAGGTTAAGTTAGTGTTGTGACTTAAGCTTAGCGCGAGCCAAGGGAGCAAAGCGAGCGTGCCGCGGGATTGGCCAGCCACATAATAGAATATAAATAATTATTACAGATACAAAATAAATAGAACAAGGAAAAGTCGACACGCTATCTTCTTTTACACACATTGCCGACTGCGCATTCGGCATTGTATAGAATACCTAGGCAAAGTATAAAATAATTATATTTCATACATTGCCTTAAGGTTTAAGGCATTCTTTACATTGCCTAGGTATGTATAGTATGCTGGTAGTATTTCTAGTATTAATTACTATTTGCATTTACTATCTACATAACGAAAATTGCAAGATATGATTTCTTTCATAACGAAAATTGCAAGATATGAAAGCAAGCACAACAGTATTAGTGTCTAGAAGCATACTCATCTGCCCAGTCAGCAATGGGTCGCAACAGTCATCCACCATAACAGGCCCACCACTGCACTTACATAAATGTTCTATTTTCAAACACATTATAATAAATTGGGATTAATAAAAACATAATTATCTGCTCAAGTCATTACATAAAACCAGTTTTCAAATGACATATGTTTCATCCCTACCGGAAACCGACTACTACTTTCGAACTTTCTCCTTTACAAGTCATTAAAAATGCTGAAATAATAAGGCTGCTGTTTAAGGAACAGCACAAATAAGTTTCATTTTTGAATAGGACAGAATGTTAGTATATTTAATTCAGCCGGGGGAATGGTTCATGATGAGAATGTGTCTCTTAATGGTCCCTTGATTACACTTAAAAAAAAACTAACACTCCATTGAAGCTATGCGAATATAAGCCATGCAGAGCTTAGCAGAGCTGTGTGAAGTGCTTTATTTGTTTGTTTAACTGACTGCAAATAATAGGTATATATGCAACTGTTGTATAATGAGGGGTATTAAAACACGAATGTGGGTTTATTTATCTTTAGGTATTTTAATACCTAATTATGAACAGTTGCATACTAGACTTTTTTTACACCTATGATATGAATCCTCTATAAAAGATTCTGAAACCATGGGGAGTTCCAAGAACTTAAAATTCATCAAGTTTCGGCGCTGTGGTAATGAAACGCGCATGAATGACAATGTTCTTTTTGAAGTGAAAACTTCTTAAGCGGCATTGTACACTTTTTTTGTAATGGGTAAAAAATGTTAAACTTGCGTCTGGACCTAATCGAAATTCGTAAGACGAAAACAATAAAATTGGAAAGGTTATTGAATTTCAATATATTGGACGAAACATAGTAATATTTTATTTTATCGTGTTTTATAATAATAAGTCTCTATTTATGACGTCCAGATGGCAGTCATAGTTTTTTTTTCGCTTTCGATGTCGCTAGGTGCGCTTAAATGTATGTCATGTAAGTAGATTTCTCTGAGAGATAAACTTTTTAATGTAATAAAAATTGTCATGTTTGTGTACGATAGCGCAATAAATAAATATTGTATTCTACCACATAAATGATAGTACTTTTATACTGATAATTAAAGCAATTCGTGCAAAATTATTCCCTAACCATTCCAAAATTTCAAAAATGCACAACATTAATATTAAAATTTTCACTTCTGCCAGCACTCCCGGAGTGAAACCCGTCGTTTTTTTTTAATACGTAATACCACGCATGGAGCAGTGAAAATTGTTGTCTGATAAGTAAGCTTTACGCGGCCTACGGCGTTTATACTCGTAGAAGACCAAAGCCTTAGCGCGGAGGGCATTTAAAAACTCCATTGGTCCATGGGTTCGCGCTAACTTTAGGTTACAACACTAACTTAACCTAACCCACTGTGAATTGGTCAAACTTTCATTGGTCTGTAGTTCATTCGGTGAAAATTATAAAATCTGTCCGTCATTTTATATCCAACTGTCCGCAATGAGGCTTATTACTAGGTCAGCATATCAACTCGAAATCAACAGTATAATGATCTAATAAGCTTACTAATTAATATACTTTTAAATCATCGAAATCGGTTCATTCGTTATGATTTTAAAACTATTTTTATGGTAGCCAATATTCACTGGCAGCCGAAAAGTGTGACGTCACGGAGCTCGATCGTGGTTCACTCCGGTAAGACTCCAGCAGTGTCTTTACGCATGTTCGCGCCCGAGCGCTAAAGCTCTGTGACGTCACAGCCACCATGCGGTCAGCCGGAAATTCGTTTAGTTATTTGGTCCTAACTTCGTCAATATTTGTCGTAGAATAAAAATGTAACCATTGTATGTTATGAAATCCTTAGCTCTATAAATCTGCATTATCAACAAAAACCCTTTATTAGTAACTTTACCACCTTATTTATCCATAGTTTTTATGAGAGGAAATTAGCCATTAAGCGTGTCCAAGGTCCCATCTATCTGTATATCAAAATTTATGATAATCAATTTAGCGGTGTAGACCTGAAAGTGTAATAAACAAATAAACTCACTTTTGGATTTTAAATATTAAGTAAGGATTATATTAGTCGCAAACAAAAAAACTATATTTCTCTCCGACATACTCGTCAAAATGCCAGTGAAATACGTTCCTCACCAGCAAGAGAGACCCTTTTTTCTGTACGGACATTGCGTTGGTTTGGCGTCAGGTCGAGTATGGGTTAAACGCAGTGAACGTGTTTAAGGGTGACGTATGGCCCCGCAATAGTTTTTGCTAAATCTTGTTAGAGGAACTGTTAAAATGCATTCCGTTAAAATGCAACACCCGATTCGTTCTCCAGAAAATGCTCGAGAATCCCATACATTATTGTTTCTGTGAGTTTATTCTTAAAAAAAGTCATAACTTTTTACCTTCTGTCTCTAGGTGGGTAATTGAGTATAATGAGTACTTCAACACTACATTGTCTACACTTGTCTTTGATTTGATCTATGATCTGGTTTGTAAATAAAAGTACTAGGTTCACTGCCGAACAACCTGCCATTATTTTTATGAAAAGATTTATTTTAACATTTTTATGCAAAAGTGTGGCATACAAGCCTATGCTTTTCCTCGTGGTAAGCAGTCACCATAGCCTTTAGACATTTCCAACTCAAAAGTATCACTCGCGCGTTGCCTTTTACATTAGTTGGTTTTCGTTTCAAAATAATAGTTATTAATATTTATAGTTACTTAATAACAGACAGGATAGTACCAGTTACTATTGGTACTATCTTGTCTGTTCATTGACCTCATCAATTATTGCCAAGTTTTATTGAGTGTAGTTTTTTTCTTCGTATAGGCAAAGAAAAGAGACCCAAAATTATATGCTGCCTTCTTTGTATCGGAGAAAAAAATGCCTCAGTGGTCAATTTCTGTTGAAGAGGCTGAAACTCTACTACGCGAGCCGAAGAGACTAAGGATTGAAATTTTTAATGATATGCTTGCTAAATCACGAAGTATGAAAGCAATGAAGCCAAAGAGTGGTAAAATATCGCGAACTAGTAGTAACGTATCGTTGAGCGAAAGTTTATATGACACATTATTTTCGGAAAATGGTAACTTTGAAGATTTGGGTGGTTCTAAAAGTAAGACTAGAAGGTCTTTGGATGTTTCAGAAGTAGTTACTGCATGCCTTGACAATATGGCAGCCAAATCAGGTATAACAAAGATACAAAAACAATCTCATATGGATATATGGCTTCAAAAAGCTAAATCTAAAACACCAGAGAAATCACAAGTCAAACATCAAGTTCCTCCAAAAGAGAAAGAAAAATTAATGAGTTCCAAAAGAAAAAGGTGCGAAGCACCTAAAAATGTACCTCTGAAAAAGCCTTATAGCTTAAGAAAATCTTATGAATCTCAAAACTTAACGTGTCATGATAGTGAACATGACTATAGTGGTCCAATTAGGAATAAATCTGGTGTGATTCCTGGAATAACTTTTGGAATAATTACGAAAGTCGAATCCCTTAGGGGTAAAGGAGATGATAAAATAGATAATACAGAGGATATGGCTGACAAAACTGATATTGAAGAGAACAGTGTCAATTTGTGTGAGTCTCCCACTTACACCCAAGACTATGACGATATCCATGAAGTTGAACCAAAAACTTCATATGAAGTTTTAGATGAACCTGAAAACGTGCAAGATGCTTCAGAAAAATACAAGGAAAACAGTATTGAAGAAGATATTACAAATGACACAATAAATAATGATATAAGTGATGATACAACAGAAATTCAACACATTTTGATCACATCAACTTTCTCAATTCCTTCTCATGATAAATACATAGATAAGTCAAATATTTCTCCTAATGTTAATCTTGTCGATAATAAAAAAAGTAACTCTCCATCTAGCTTAGACGTTAATGGAGATTCACTTGTAGATAGCCAAAGTAACCACAATAATACAGTTAATGGAATTAACAAAATAAAAAATTTACAATTAAAACTGAATATTGACACGCAGGATGAAATGAACAACATTAAAGATAACGATTCTAGTAATCATGTAAATTCATTAATGAGCAATGGCTTTAAAGACACTAGTATAAATATAAGTATACAAAGTATTACGACAGATACAGATAGCAGTTTTGATAATACTTTACAAAACCTGGAGGACAATGAAATCACTGTTTGTAGTTCCACTAAACCTCGCGATAAGCCTCTGCGTATATCAAAAAAACGAAGCTTGCGTTTAAAAAATCGCAGTAAACCTAAAAATTCTAAGGCTCAAGAAAATGATGCTTTTGCTAAATATGTAGAATACCGAAAAGATACGCTTATAGATGAGTATCCGCATTTGTCACATACTGAAATAATGGACTACCTTTCCAAAACTTGGCAGTATGAACAAGGCGACGAATCAAAAGCAAATAAACCTAGTTTAAGTAGTAACGCTACCAAAGAAATAATCAGTGAGAAATCGGAAACTACTAATCCAAACAATGTTTGTAAAACACCTCGTTCTAAACTTAATTCTGGAAAACGAGTTTGTGCCGTGAGCTTGACTGATATTCTTTTACAAAGTAATATAAGTGTCGCTTTTAGAAATGGAGAGAAGACGTGTATTTGGCCAATAATGGAAAATTCTAGTGAATGCAATGATGTGGAAGGGAATATTATGAAAGATAAAAATAAAGGTAATGACGAAATCTCAAATAAAATTGTTTCAGAAATCAATGAAACGAATTCTAGTAAAACTGAAGATAGCAAAATGCCTAGTGAGGAATTTGATCATCAAAAAACATTAAATGACCATGCAGTTGCATGCGATAGCAAACACGAAAGTAAAATAAATGAAGAATCAACATCAAACGTAGATTTAGAAAATAATTTAGATGCTGTTAAGAATTGTGCTGATAATGAAAGTAACATAAAAAAAATTATTCCATATGGTCCATCGAATGCTTCGAAGAACAATAATATTGATTCTTCACTTAATACACACACTATTATAGAAATCACTTCTGACATAACACTCTTATCAGATGTAACAAATGTAAATGTGAATAATTCTCAGTTACCTAACAATGAAAGTGCTGTACCAGTTTCCCTTCAAGACGAAAACTTTACTGAAAACGTTGATGTTGAGGAGAGTATTAGGTCAGATGAATCTGATAAATTAGTTTCGAAGCCAACCTCTAATAAATCAATTTTGAAACATGTCATAAATGAATCTCTAGATGTTTCATCAATCAATGATACATTAGATGTTTCATCAATTTGCAATACAACAGTGAATGTAAAGCAATCTTTAATTAATACAAATTCTGAGAAAGAAACTCCGATTAAGGTAGACGATACAAATAAATTTTTAAATAATTGTATTTTATCGGACAATACAAATGTTGTACAAGTGAGCTCACAAGATGCTAATACGGTCGAGAACAATATTGAAAATATGGATGTTTCAGAAAGTAACATATCAGGAAATTGCGAACAATCGGCTTCGATCTGTATAATAAACGAATCACATTTTATATCAGATGTTATTATGTCAAGCAATACAGCAGATCATGGAACGAAATCTCCACCTTATACAAATTTGATGGAAGAAAATCCGAATGATGCAATAAATAAAGAAAACATGAAATCTCATGTATCTGGCAATGAACACGATAACAGAGAAGACTCTGTTTTAGAGAATGAACTAAACGTCGCTCATGTTTGTCTGCAAGATGCTGATAAAGTGGCAAACCACAGTGAAAACTATGTTGTTACGGAAGATGATATATCCGTTAAATCAGTTGAATCAATTCTAACAGATGAAACAGAAACTGATAAAATTTCAGCATCTACTGATATAATTGATAGAATTTCAGAATCTGCTGATATAATTGACAGAATTTCAGAATCTGCTGATATAATTGTCAAGGAGCCTTCCATTATACCACCGAACCCTGATCTGGAGATGAATGAACATATTGAATTAAAAAGGAATGACGATGACAAAGTAATTCCCATCGTAGAAAATGTTGCCAAATTAGCGGATCATCAAAATAGTGATTTTAATGATATTTCAATAAAGAGTCCTGAAAACTTCAAAATGGTTGATGATGAGAAGAACATTACCGGTGTTAATAAAATTAAGTCATTTACCGAATGCGCACAGGAACATATTAAATTAAATGGATTCAATTCTAATGATGATTGTACACCAGAAGTTAGTGAAGGAGAATTTAATGCTGAAACGTCATCTATACATTCGGAAGACAGTGAGCCTCTATCCACAGTTAAAAGTAAATTGCAATTTAAAAATCGACATAAAATAAACGACATTAACAATCCGGAATTTTTAAAATACATGGACTTACGACAAGATGCGCTTATGGATGAACATCCAGAACTAAGTCACGAAGAACTTGTTAAATACATGTATAAAACATGGTTATATGAAGAAAGTACCAAATCTGATTTTATGAAAACTGATGATATCGCACAGTCCGGGTTAGTGAAGGGATTGGATGATAATTTGAGACAAAAATCTATACGAAACAGTTTTCGTGCAAGCAAAAAACGTAAACATAAATCTGGCAATGAAGATTCAATATCTGTTAGTTCTGATACCAGTGATGTTTCGATCAAAAGAAAATTACGTAAAAGAACTATTCAGTCCCCTGTTGGTACAATTGACAATAGTCAAAGCAGCTTTAGTAAAGACAGTAGCCCAGAGAGGAAAAACTTGGAAGAAAATGAAGTTGAGTCCATTAATTGTGATTTCAATAATGAATCCTCTAAAGATCTAAAAGCAAACGTGATTTGTGATGATAAAATGACAAATAAACTATTGTCAGAGAATAAATTGGAAATTCCTATTGAGCCACAGTTACAAAAGGAAGCAAAGGTTTCGGAAAAACCACCACCTCAATGTATTTTAAGCAACAATGATTGTAAACCAAAAAAATATTTCGACATTTTCAATCAAGTTGAAAAGAAACACCAAGTTCCAGAGATAACTATTAATGATTATGATATTAATGTCAAAGAAGAATATGATCCAGAAACAGTGTCCATAGATTCCGAGGATAGCGAAGTGTCACTTACAAAACGTAAGCAACGAAAAAATGGAAAACAGTTAAGCAAAGATGACCCAGATTTCTTAAAATATGTAGAGCTCAGGCAAGATGCACTTATCGATGAAAATTCTGAATTAACTCATGATGAAATTGTTTCATACTTATTTAAAACTTGGTTATACGAAGAGAGCGTGAAGTCCGACATAAAAAAGTCGGATGAAATTGACCAAGCTAGTTTAATAAAAGGATTAAATCCAGATACACTCCAGCCAAAGAAAGTCCGGAAAAAAACTAAAGCTGATAAAGAGTTGACTGTTGATGTGGTGATTGATGATACTATTCCAAAAGACAAACCGAAACGTAAATCATCGCACCCATTCTATATTGAAGATGATTTGTCTGACTCGGAAGACATTGAAGTATTTGATATCTTTAAATCAAAGAAGAAGCTTCCAAGCGATGAAGTAATTGAAGTCGATGAAGACGTTGTAGATCAAGTTGATTTGTATTTTAAGCAACTAACGAAACCAAAACCTAATGTTTTCAAAGGATTAGTGAGAGAAAAAGTCTGTGGAATTTGTGAGAGGACGAGCAACCTAGTCAAATGCAAAGGTTGCAGTAGCATGTTCCATGTAGATTGTATTAAAAAAGAGGATGAAGTGAAGGTTGAAGCAAGCCCACCTGTAAGAGGCAGAAAGAAAAAGAAAAAACTCGGACGCAAGCCAAAGAATTTGGACGAATCTGGAAGTCACAGCGACGATAAATCACAAGATATCTCTGAAGAGAACAATGTTTCGATCGAGGACGTCACAAAACAAGAATCTTACGTTGTCGATGCTGAGAATTTCGAATCAGTCTTAGAGGTCAAAATGAAAGAGTTGATACCTATGGCTGGAGATTATTATTCATATTCCAACTGCGACGGCATTCATTGGAATGGTACAATCGCTGACAAATGCAACATTCTACTGACACCAAAGATAGAAACGGATTATTCAGATTTCAAATGCAACAATTGTCAAATACACGACATTCCTGTGTGTTTCGTGTGCAAGTCGGCTGTATCTAAAACGGGCGTAAAATATAGGCAGAGGTGTCAGACTGCACACTGTCATAAATATTATCATATGGAATGCTTGGACCATTGGCCTCAGACGCAATTTCAGGCTGGAGAGCTTTGCAAGACTGGTGGCAAGGTGGATGGACGTTTCGAAGAGTTTATGTGTCCAATACATGTGTGTCACACTTGTGTATCTGACGATCCTCGTGGTTGTAAGACGAGATTTTGTGGGGACAAATTGGCTCGGTGCGTCAGATGCCCGGCCACTTACCATTCATTCACCAAGTGCTTGCCTGCTGGATCGCAAATTTTGACCGCATCACACATCGTCTGTCCAAGACATTATGAACAAAGGTACGTACTGTTCACAAATTGCTTTTAAGAAAAAAATGTTGACTTGTTAGTTCCAACTATGATAACATTTCGTAAGAGTTATGTCTCGCATGCATGTCCTTGTAGCACAAGATCTTGATTTGTGAAAATCCAGTCAACTTCCTCATGATTAAACAGTGCAGTCAAATTCATTTGTCCAACAGGATTAATATTCCGTGATTTCAATATAAGTTTAAATAATTTAGGTAGCTTCTTCTAGATTCATATAATACTGAATATGGACGACCACCTTTTAAAACATAAATATGCGATTTATATTCAATCTCTCTTCATGAAAACAATAGCATTCACTAGCGTTGGAGCCACTTTATTTCAAAGTGATATAAAAAAAAATCTGCACACTGGGAATCTGAAGAATTATTTTATTGTAATAGTTAAGATTGCATGGAATATTAAGAAATCAAGCTCTTGTTGGACAAACTACTTGGACCACCTACTTGAGTAGTTTGACCACAAGGAAAATTTTCTTTGTTGGGCTAATTCGTTCCATTCTTGATATCTATGGCTGTGCTCACCGCAGCCGGTCTTCTTTAGGACTTTTGTGTTTTTCTTACCACTTTGACGTGTTTCTAGACCTGGAAAAGTGTCGTGTCACGTGAACACAGGATGGTGCTTCATATGTGCACTGGGTGGTTCTTTGATCTGCTGCGAGTACTGTCCAACTTCGTTCCACGCCGAATGCCTCAATATAAAACCACCGGAAGGTAATAATAACATTTATACATACCAATTCATATAAAGTTAAACGTTTACAACTAGAAAAGTTTAGTCACAAAAATAATGTACACACATCGCACGCTTAACGGATTACATAACTTTTAGTTCTTAAGATATACAGACAAAAGCAAGTGCTAACGCCATCTATGTTATTCTATTTACATGCAAATATCGCTGGTACGTTATCGGCATCTTATATCTCATCTTTAATATCATTGAGTACTTTTTCATCACCTTTCATATTAATCACCATAGTGCCGTGGTCCCACTTTGGTTTGAGTGTAAATTGGTACAGGCTGCCACAAAGTAAAAACGTTGTAATTACTGATATATTGCTCCATTTTTTCAAAAATGGCATTCGTTATAAATATTTTCTCCGTTAAAGGGCGACCAGAGCGACGTGCATCTTTGTCATCAAAATTTCCAGATTGAAAACGGTTAAACCAAATTTGTGCTACTCTCACAGACACTGCACTAGGACCATAAAAAAAATCGGCTTGCGTTGCACCTTTTTTGTAGTAAAATTTTAAAATGTATCGAATGTCTTCATTAGATACATATCTTGACAGTAAGAAAATCTGCTATTTTTCTAATTTGAATTGTCTTTGTTAACATTTAAACTTTTTGATGATACCAAAACCAGCCAGACACAAATGGTATAGCCACTGAGATTTTATTACAAGTGCATAGATACAAAAATGCGAAAAGAATTTTGCCCCAACCTATTACAACTGTGAGTGAGAAGATTTTACATACTTAGTAATTCTCATTTCACCACTTGTTCACCAGCAGTGCCCTCCTGTCAATGTCATATAAGTGCCACAAGATCATGGTCACACTATACAGGTGTATTAGCTTCAGAACCATATAAAATTGGTGCAAAACCAGCAAACATTTGTTTTCTTTGACAGGTGGATACATGTGCGAAGACTGCGAGACTGGCCGCTTGCCTCTTTACGGCGAAATGGTGTGGGTGAAATTGGGACATTATCGGTATGTATTCGCTATTTTGTACATACTCCAAAAGCTATCTTGATAAATTTATAAAAGTTGTCACAGTAAAATACATTAAACATGAAAAAAAAAACAACTTATTCTAGATGGTGGCCAGGCTTGATCCTGCATCCTTCAGAAATACCGGACAACATTATGGCGGTGAAACATTCCCCTGGCGAGTTCGTGGTACGCTTCTTTGGTCAATACGATCATTATTGGGTCAAAAGGGGACGCGTGTTCCCCTTCCAAGAAGGTAAGCTATTGGATAAAAAAATTTGTCTTTGAAATCAACACATCTACTCGTATTTTTCTATCAGATTGAAATTATTTAATGTTTTATTTTTGTTGCAGGTGACTCCGGAAGAATATCAAGTCAAAAGTCTAAGATAGATGCGGCATTCACGACGGCTATGGAGCACGCGCAAAGAGCTTGCGAAATAATGAAAGGTAAGCTTCAAATTATCGCGCGTATAAAGGCAAAGATTTTTCACGGAAAATATAAATAGTTTTAATGAAAGGTTTATCTATTTTTTTGTTATTAGTAACTTGACGTGTCTGACTGTATGTTGGCCAGTATTAATTATTTATCTAGTCAACGAATTAGAAATAATATGGAATACCAACTGTGCTAAAAAGTGTTTCCACGCAAACTGCGATTAAATGGGCTGGGTGAAAATAATGCGATCAACACGCCCATGATGGGATTGGTTGGGATTTCCGTTTAACATTATCTTACCCCATGAATGGATAGCCGAATTAATTTGCAGATATTTGATTTGTCCGTGTGGTTTGACTTTGGACCCATGTTTTAGCGGCATTTGTCAGCTTCCGTATCATTTCTTTTTCTTGTATCTAGTACTGTACCTACAAGATTATGAAAAACGTTAATTTTATGTTTGGTCTCAGCGGCCGTAAAGAACGATGTGGAGGACACAGATATAGCGTCGTCACTACTGCCGCCTCACTACGTGAAGCTGAAGGTGAACAAGCCAGTCGGGTCGGTGTGCTCGCGGCGCGCGGACGTGCAGGAGAGCTCGCTGACGCAGTGCGACTGCAGCCCCGACGTGGAAGACCCGTGCGGGCCCTACTCGCACTGTCTCAACAGGTGAGCATAAAAACCGGAACCAAAGTGAGAGTTTGCTTGTCATAGGTCAGGCGAATGCAACGCAACGCCATCTGCAAAAGGGGTGATGACAGGGTACAGTAAACGAAATTCTACTTAGTCCGTCAGTTAGATGTTAAAAAAATAATGGACACGTATTTTTTTTTTGGGCAATCAACCAAATAATGACAAAGTTATAGCGCGTCAAAGTTTGGGAGTAGGGGCTCGTGACGTCACTTTTAAGTGAATTTTCACTTATGAGTGTACTCAATGTGACGTCATGCGACTTTTCAAATCAATATATCTCTGCAATGTTTATATTATGTGAAAAAAGATAAATACATTTCCAATACTTTTTAATAATCTACCTGATAAACGAAGAAAAAAAATGAGTCATCATCCCTATTAAAGGCGGAATGAGGATCATTACTAAGTCAGCAAATCAACAGTATAATAGTCTAATAAGCTTATTAATTAATATACTTTTTAAATCATCGAAAGCGGTCCATTCGTTGCAATTTTATAACTAACTTTATAGGCTGAAACGTGTGACGTCACAGAGCTCGATCATCGTTCACTCCGGTCGAACTTAAGTAGCGTCTCTACGCACGCTCGCATTAGCACTAGAGCTCTGTCACATCACAGCCATTCGTTTAGTAATTTGGTCATAACTTCGTCAATTTTTGTAGTAGAACAAAAATTTAACCACTGTATTTTATGGAATCCTTAGCTCTATAAATCTGCATTCTCAACTAAAATCTTTACGGATTAAATCATCATTATTAGACGGTTCATCAAAAGTTATTAATCTTTACAATGATTTGTGACGAAAGCATAATTTTAGATAAAAGCCAATATTCCATTCCTTGTGAAATTCCCGCGTGAACATCATCTGTGTTATTTAATAAAAAATAAATAGTGAGATAGTGAAAGAAATGAACTGTGAATGAGCTGTCGCTGTTTAGATGTTTCACTCGTAGTACATTGCTAATGAATGATGACAGATGCATGATCGATGCTAGTGAAAACAATCGGGAGCCGGAAGCTTTCATCGCGAAGGCACATTCCGATGAACGTTAATTTATTTACCGTCTAATTTCAGCTTAACTTCGCGTTTTCTTCCCCACTACACATGCATGTAGCGGCAAACCTTAGAGACCTGCGTACACTACAGGTCAAGTGGAATATTTGCTCAGGTGGCTCGCGCTGTTACATGATTGACTCCCACTCTCGAACATCTTTTGCTATGTAGATTATGCTACAGCAAGCGCGTTGTCCGAGTGCTAAGGAATGCGCTAGTGCTCAAAAACACAGCTCGAGTTACATATTATATAATACAGGTATGCAAGACAGCTTAGATCATATGCGTACTGTACTTTCAACCTGCGCAAGCTACTTGAACCGTGTGCTAGAAGTCGTACTACCATAAAGAACACGACTCATACCACCTCTTCACATGGCAATTCGTATTTGATACTTGCCATTAGGACAGCAGTTTCTTATCATACTTTATAGGGAGTATAAAGGAGAGACTGATGTCAAGTTTACAAATAGCAAAAATGTACGTAAAGTGGCATCAGCCGAAGCGGTCGAGCCGTTATTCTTCGTATTCTTTTTCTTATAATAGATTTAATCATCATCTGATTTCATCATCATCATCAGCCTATTAATGTCCCCACTGCTGGGGCACAGGCCTTACCTATGGATGGAATAGGGAGATTGGGCCATGACCCACCACGCAGGCCCAGTGCGGATTGGTGGGTGCTAACGACTGCAGATGCAGCCGTGACCAACGGCTTAACGAGCCTTCCGAAGCACGGAGGAGCTCGAGATCGAAAATATTTGGTCACCCATCCAATGACCGACCACTGCGAAAGTTGCTTAACTTCAACGATCGTAGCCGAACGCGCTAACCACTGGCGCCATCGAGCTCCTCTCATCTGATTTATTTAAATTTATTTCTATATTTCAGAATGCTTCTAACCGAATGCGGTCCGAGTTGCCGTGCGGGCGACCGTTGCAACAATCGCGCGTTCGAGAAACGCCAGTACCCGCGAGTGGCGCCGTACAGGACGCCTCACCGGGGCTGGGGGCTGAGGACGCTGCAAGACATCGCGGCCGGTGAGATGATACCCGCGCTTTATACGTTCATGTTAGGTGTCATGGTCAACGATATTAAATACCCTAGATACACCAACACAAACAAAATCGTGCCCGAAACCTGTCCAAAAGGTACATTGAACGATCCACGGAGCTCCGTAAGATGATCGCGTAGTCAAAATCAATATAAGGCAATGGTGCCGATTCTAGCATGATTCTCTAAACCTAAACTTAAATTTGATAGCAGTATATCCTTGTCATTCTCTATAAAGAATGAAAAGGAGAGACTGATGTTAAATTTAGTTTTAAGTTTAGAGAATCACGCCAGAATTGGCACCATTATTTAAATATTGAAAGTAATCTTTAAAACATACTGTATAAGGTCTTAAATAAAACGCATGCGACTTCAAACAGGTCGAAATGCAAGCTCGTTAAATTTTACGACTTATTGCTATATGTGGAGGAATTTAGACCTTAGTCTTTGACTCTACACGCAATTCTGAACGCGCTGTTAGTAATATAGCAGGCACAGACCGCGAGGAAAAGAGACGGCTATATGGCGACGTATAACCGACCATGCATTTGAATATCACAAATATTTTAAATTAAATCAGTTTATAGTAAGTATTAGATCAAAATTTGCTTCAAATGCGTTATATTAACAAACATTGACAAGATACCTGTCGAAAAAACGACACTTTTCGTACTCAAAGTATTATTTTCGCATATTTTTGCGGAGCTCTGTGGCATCTTGACTTTGTAACGGTCCGCGCGTGACTGTGAACCAAGAAGTGCTTGAGTGGAGTTGAAGCACTTCTTGATTGGGACACATTTTGAGCGCTTGTGGTGTATCTAGGGTATTTAATCGTTGGTCATGGTCAGCACTCGCGAGTGGCGCCGTACAGGACGCCTCACCGGGGGTGGGGGCTGAGGACGCTGCAAGACATAGCGGCCGATGAGACGATCCCCGCGCGTTATACGTTCATATTAGGGGTCATTGTTTCCGCATTTAGGCCTAGATACAGCAAATTTAATAAACCTACATATAATAAATAATAATAATAAATAAATAAATATTTCCAACACACACCAATTAGCCTAGCCCCAAAGTAAGCACTATAAGGCTTGTGTTATGAGGTACAAGGGTAACGAATAGAATACATATACTGTACATATATAAGTATATTTATATATAAATCATATTAAACATCCATGACTGGAGTACAAATGCTCGTGTTCATCACACAAACATCTGCCTCCAGCGGGATTCGAACCCGGGACCTCTCAAGTCGGCGATACCATGAAACCCGGCGTACAAACCACTCGGCCATGGTCAAGGTCCAAGGTCGTCAATAAATTTGCTAAATATCGATTTAATTAGAACTAGATTTAACCGAATCTCGTATGCATGAATGTGATATTGACATCCACTAAGCTACTAGTAGCCGGCACATTGAGCCACTAACCGCAGCTACCAAACGCGACCACTAGTAGCTCAGTCAAGCCACTAGATGCAGCCAAAAGTCAACGCCACCAGTGGCTTAATGGCGGCCAATAGTGGCTCAATCTGCACTTACTCTAAAGCTAGTTTTAGTCGAATAGCGATTTGGCGAATTGCCTGCAGTGGGCCTTAGTCCTGAAAATGTATCCAGAAGCGATCTGCTTCTGGGTTCATTTTCAAGAATTTTCCCAGTTTCTCAGGGCATCCGCAAGGGATCGCGGTGTGCCCTGTTATGTTGTATGTTCTATGTTCGGGGTTATGGTGTCTGCACTTACGGTCTCGTTCACAAAAATATAATAGAAGCTTTATTAGCTTGTTATTTAGGTAGGTAGTTCTCTAAAAACACAATTCAAAAGAGATATTGGTTAGTAATACAATGTAATTACTTGCAATTGCAATAGCAAATGACTATAATTATTTTGTAGTAATCCTTACAAAAACTGATAGCCAATGTTATTCCACTAGGTCAGTTCGTGATAGAATACGTGGGAGAATTGATTGATGAAGAGGAGTTCAGGAGGAGAATGAAGCGGATGCACGAAATACGCGACGAGAACTTTTACTTCTTGACTCTGGACAAAGAGAGGATGATCGACGCTGGCCCTAAAGGGAACCTGGCTAGGTGAGACACATTTTTATATGTAAATAAACTATTTTAATGTATAAAAAAACTAGCCTTTGCCCGCGACTTCGTAAGAAACATGAGTGTTGTTGATTTGAAAACATTAAATGTTGTGTACAAAAGGGATGATGACTAACTTTTCTTTAATCACACAATCAAAACATAACAGAGATATATTGGTTTGAATTGTCGCATGACGTCACGTTTGGAACAATTTTTACTAAGAAGTGACGTCACGAACCCCATCTTTAACTTACTTTACCCCGTCATCAGCCCTATTTAAGTAATCAATGATTGATTACTGCGAGATATTTATTTTATTTTAAACATTTGTTTAAGCTACGTTATTTTGTATTTCCGTCGTTTCTTACTTACTTTATGAAAATTTATTGGGCTGGGGACTCCTAAGCATACCACGTATAATCTCCCATGGGAAAACAGATTTTCCCATATTACACCTGCTACTTTCAGTATTTGTCCTTGAGCTCTATTTATTGTCTTTGCGAATACTGCTTTCAGGACTTTTTGTAACAATTTTTTTTTGCAATAATGGCGAATTCATATATCTTCTTGCTTTGCTGCTATTTGTTTCCTCTCAAGCTTTGCAATTATCTGGCGAAATTCTGTTTAATATCTTAATATGATTAAAAAGTTATTTTACGATACAGCTAGCAGTGCCGCTAGCACGAACCATTATCGAATTCGAATAGATTGCAAACCGAAATGTCAATGTCAAATTTTGTATGGAAACTTGAACAGCAGCGGCACAAAGTACGTAACGAGAACTAAAAATCAGTACACATTTGACAATGACATTTCGGACTCGCAAACGATACGAATTCGATATGGGTTCGTGCTAGGGGTACAGTACTCTAATGAGTTTTATTTTAAATTTTATTTATGTGCATTTATAAAGTACGTGTGTATAAAACTATCTATAAATTCGTAATTCGAATATTTCGACATGAGCGTAGATAAAGCAATGTAACAGCTCCGCTCATCTTAACTTCGCTCAGCTCAACTCCGCTCAGCGCCGCACCGCTCCGCCTCGCTCAGCATGACAACGCTCCGCTCTGCCCAGCTTAACTCCGCTCGCTATGCATTTTGATATTATTCTTCAGAACGACACTAATACTGTTTCCACTGAAGTGGAGCGGAGAAGAGATATATATTATGAGCAATACGATTGGCATTTTTTTTTGAGTTCAGCGCAGCTTCGCTTATGTAGCGAATGAAATGCAGGCTTATTTGCGCACGCACCTCTTTCAAAGTATCAATGTTGATTTTGCTAATGTTTCGTTTGTTGCGACAATCGCTTGCACATAAACTTTATTTATTTTAAAAATGTTTTTATTTAGATTATAGTTAAATAAAAATTAAATAATAAAAATTATAACTATAATTATTCTTCTATTTCTTCTTTCAAATGTTTAATTCTTGTAAAAGTATTCATTTGACATTGTGGGTTACCTGTAATGCGAAGAGATGGCGCTGCCTTGCAGCTTAAGAATGGATAGAAGAATTTCGACGCGGGCCGTGAGGGCCGCCGTAGCATAATTGGCCAGTGCATTCGCCCGCATTGCGAAGGGTCCGGGTTCGAGTCCCGTCTGCTGCCTGGTCCGCGTGGAATCGTTCTAGTTATATTTTCTTTAGATTTAAACATCAAGCAGTAACATGCTTTAAAATAATAAAAATTATAACTAGATTATAGTTGCTCAGTAAAGTAACCATAATATATTATGGACTACCTGTTACTGGTAGTTCATTATTAAAAACTGGCCATTAATCAGTTGTTGTTTTCTTCACCTGTGTAATATTTGATATGTCTCTGTTCTAAAGGTTTATGAATCATTGCTGCGAACCGAACTGTGAGACCCAAAAATGGACTGTGCTAGGTGACGTCAGAGTGGGGCTCTTCGCTATAAAGGACATACCAGCGGTAAGTTATGTGTTTGAACATTTAACATTACTTCAAACTCATAGCCCTCGCAGACTGTAGGCTTTCTATTTGCCTAAAATTAGCTAGTAGCACGACGGCGCAGGTGGTTAGCGCATTCGGCCTGCGATAGTGAAAGTTAAGCAACTTTCACAATGGTCGGTCATTGGATGGGTGAGCAAAAACTTATCATCTCACCTTCTCAGTGCTTCGGAAAGCATGTTAAGCCGTTGAATCTGTGGCTCACGGCCCAGTCTCCCCTATTTCAGCCATAGCGAAGGCATGTGCCACAGAAGTGGGGACATTAATAGGTTGATGATGATGATGATGATGATGATGAGATGATAGTTAACCAGAATCTTGATCTATGTAAAAATGAATTCAAGTGCGCATTGTATAATGATTCGGCCGCTAATACCTACAAATCAAATTACTACGGAACTATCTTTCAATTAAAAAAAATAACAATAGAATAATTATGCGCAGTGGTTTAACGCGTTTGACCTGCGATCGTGGAAGTTTCGCGGTGCTAGGCCATTGGATGGGTGACCAAAACACGTAATATCTTGAGCTCCTCCGTGCTTCGGAAGGCAAGTTGAGCCGTTGGTCCCGGCTGCATCTGCAGTCGTCAGCACTCATCAATCCGCACTGGGCCCGCGTGGTGGGTCATGAATTGTTCTCCCTATTCCATGCATAGGGTAGGCCAATAACAGGCAGATGATGATCATATGCATTAAGAGTATTAATACAAGACATAATACTTTATTGAAAACACCACAACACAGTACGGAAATGAGGGAAATTACAATTGTAAAAATAAGAGTGCTTCAATGGGCGATGTTATCGCTAAAAACTATTTCTACCAGACAACGTATGGTCACTCTCAATCAGTTTAGTAACTGATTAAGAGTGGATTGAATGTGGTCGTTGTCAAACCAATATCTGCTAAAAATCTAACTAACGTGGCAGGTAATTTTTGACAATATTCTGACTAATGCACATATAATATTTTTTAAGCAACCACTATTCACCGTGCTTAACATTCGTGTTTAGAAGAAGTCTTTGTATACGAAAATTTCGTAATCTACTAAAAGTGCACATAGTACCTCTGTTATGACCACTATTGGCCTCTCCGAGCACGAACCATGACAGATCCGTAATCGTATCGTCATAGTCAAATTTTGTATGGAACGAACTAGTTAGTTCTTAGTACGCACTCTGTCAAAGTTCGTGCTTGGGCCTCAGATATTGGTTAAAACAACGACAAATGTTTCCCCCCTATTCTAGAATTTAAATATTCTTAGGAAAGTTATAAAAATAATAAAACGAAACGATCGTATTATTTTTCTTTCTCCCACAGATGAGTGAGCTAACATTCAACTACAACTTGGAATGCGCCGGCATTGAAAAGAAACGCTGCCTATGTGGAGCGAAGCGATGTTCGGGATACATTGGCGCGAAACCGAAGCAGGTACGATTTTTTTTATAGATACGTCCGACAAAATACTCCACCCCACCTGATGTTGAGTGACGGTGAAGTCCAGACGTGAAGATAGCTGGTGCAGCAGTTCTACCTGCCACACCAGCCATCCTCACCTTGCCAGCCTGCATGTTGCTTCTTTACGCCTCTTTTAAAGGATCTCAGGTTGTGAGCAGGCAGAGCATTCCATTAACGTGTGGTGCGACAAAGAAATGACTCACTAAATTTCTTTCTACGCGTTGGAATTGTGGCTACAGTTAGACGGTGACAACGAAGGCCAGCGCGCGTGGTCCTCTGTTATTAAGTACCAATTTTATCTTTGAATAAAAGTTAGCATCAATCGAAATGTACTTCTATCGTATGATAACCATTGACGAATAAACACAAGCAGACTCGAAAAAGTGTCTGGAGTAAAATTAAGCACACGCGTCTATTGTCCGTAATTTTCAAACAGTCGTGTTTCGACCGCCCTTTGATTACAATGCCACGCAATGACAAAGTGTTCGGTTAAAAACTGTGCTAATGACCCCAGAGCCACACTTAAAAAACACGGAATATCGTATTTCAGGTATCTGTTCCTTTAATTAAACTAACAAAATGACGTAACTATCTTGGCGTTATCAATCGTATTGCTAATTAATTAAATTTTAATAGCTACAACAGATATCCCTCCCCGGGTGCGCCCTCGTGCGCGTCACGTGATCGCTTATATCTCTTTCGCACCGTAATCAAATAAATAAATATTTCCAACACTCACACCAATTAGGCTAGCCCCAAAGTAAGCACTATAAGGCTTGTGTTATGGGATACTAGGGTAACGGATAGAATACATAAACTGTACATATATAAGTATATATATTTTTTTTTATGTAAATATATATTAAACATCCATGACTGGAGTACAAATGCTCGTATTCATCACACAAACATCTGTCCCCACCGGGATTTGTACCCGGGACCTCACGAGTCGGCAACACCATGAAACCCGGCGTACAAACCACTCGACCACGGAGGTCGTCAAACTGAGTAACTGGCGAACAAAACGGTATAATTACGAAACTGGTCAAACAACTTTTTTTTTTGTATTTGAATCTAAAATATTTTTCATTTAAAACCGCCTAAAACAGTGTTAATATTACTAAGTTTATAATTTAAAAACCATGCCAAAAGCTCACTATGTACATTCAGTTTTATACAGCTCCTGTAAAATTTAATTTTATGTAATTATACCGTCTTGTTCGCCAGCTCCTCAACTCCTTTTCTCTCAACTATACAACATTGAATCGTAGAGACACAACATAAAGTCTTAATTTGAAAAAATGTGATTTGATGTGTATTTGTATAACACAGCTCCGCTCGGACGTTATTTGATGCACTTTTGCCAGGCGATTGGGAGTCTACTTGTTTTTATACGTCATTGATGATAATAAACATTATCTTAATAATTGGTCAGTGCATTCAGCAGCATTAATAGCGAAGGGTGCGGGTTCGAGTCCTGTCTCCTGTCTGCCCCGCGTGAATTTTATTCTAATTATATTTTCTTTAGATTTAAACATCAAGCAAGTACATGCATTAAAAATAAAAATTATAAACATTATCTTGTAATATGTGTTAATGATCTTTACTTTTGTTTAAACCCAAACACATGTATCTTGCTAACTACATATTCTATCAGCATTCAGATTAATGAAAAAAGATCAATTCGTACATTTTTACAGATACTTATTTTTTACTTTTTTTAATAATACACTATTCTTATGGACAGCTGTGATTGTAAATGTTATCGTTGTTCTGTCATAAATCCACGTCAATTCGACATATAAGAACGTGGTATAATATATCGTAAATTTCAAAATTGACTTAAATGCTTTATTAACAAAGCTCAATATCGCATAATTCCCAGGACGAACAGCCAAAGAAATCTAAACGCACTTATAAGAAGCGTAAACCCACCGAAGAATCGCCGTCCACAAGCAAAAATAAGCCTAAAAGACCCGTGGGCAGGCCGGCCAAGCCGAGGGAATTAACAGAAATAGAAAAAGACTTGTTGATAATAAAGAACGCGACCAATGGATTATCCAGCGACTCTGAATGCAGTGGAAGACTGAGCAGCATAGAATCTGATAGAAACATCAAAGCCTTAAAGAGAAAGAGAGTCAGTTTTTCTACCGATGAATTTACCCCGCCTACCAGTTCCCCTAACAACGCGAAAAGAGTGAAATTAGACGACGATAAAGCCATAGAGGTAGGCGACTGATTTATAACTAAACGTAGATTTTATTGTTATAATACTAAGGTCGATTTTGATTCGTTGACGAATTAAATTCGGTGCAGTCGTACTGTACATATTTTTTAAAGAAGCATTTTGATAAACTTGTGAACTGTAGTTTGTGATGTTTGTCAGTATGTCTAAAAGTATAATGAGGTCCCATATGTGAAGATTTGATATTAAAAAATAAAAAAAAGTTTGTACATTTTAATTATGTTTGATTTACTAAGGATTTTTTGAGGATAAAGTCCATATGTTTTATGGTTATATATATGGAATAATCAATCGGTCTGATTTTATGATTACTTAAATTTGAATCTATCATGTCTTATATTTTACAGAATAATATCGTTTTTTGTTTTATAGAATCATAGACAATCGCACAGTTAAGATTACCGATTTACGTAAGTTCCCTTTAATTTTGTAAAGCAAAATGCGTATTACAAAACCACATAGTCTATTATCAAAAAATCATTTTCCAAACTTAATATTTGTTTCTTAGATTTTCACGCACATCACTCATTAAATAAAACTAGTTTCGAAACGTCAATAAATAAATAAAGTTTCGTGCATTAACCCGTGAAAAACTAGTTTTATTTAATATTTCGATTTTTAAAATAATCAGCAGCTTAATATCAAATTTTGTAATTGAGACAGACGTAGATGCTATATTCCGAATGTTTTTTTATTAGTTTTTAATCGAATATATAGCCTTATTACTTTATCAACAATTAAATAATCAATATTAATCTTTAATGCAATATAGTGTATGGGATCTCTTTTATCGGATATTACTAGTAATCATTAGTTTTTATTGTGTTCAGTAATTATACATAAACATTGTCACTGTGTCTGATATTTACAAAATCGCACTGCCGATTAGGACATGCAAAATAGGACTAGTTCAAATTGAAAGTGCTTGTGTGCGTACGTGATAACTTTTGTACGTAAATTTGAAAATATTTGCGATCAAAATGAATGATCATGAAAGGCAAATTTATTTAGTGATGTTCGATAGCTAGCTAAAGGCTCTTCAAAATTATGGAATACTGTGTTAGCCAAAAGTCCTTGTACTATATGTCAAAGGAATGTTGCTTGACAATGCTTTTTTTCTATAATATCTAGAATAAAATAGTAAGTGGCTCATAATTTTCTTAAAATAGAGTCTGTAGTTTCTATCGATTTTTGTAAGCATCGGGGGAAAATCCTATTGTGAACATGCCTTAAAACTTTGATCACAAAATTATTTTAAATTTGTTATCAAACTTTGAATGCCAAATTTTGTTTTATCTTGTAATATACTTTGCCTTTGTATAATATGTAGTTATTTTAATCCTGCATTAATTATACAGTGATAAAATTCGTGAAGTCTGGAAGAGTGTGACTTCTTCCTATATTGACTTAGCCATAGTAATAGTACCTAAATAACTCTACAATTATTATTTTCCTAGTTCTTATATTTTCCATCACAGAAAGCTGATCCAAAGTAAGAAATACGATGCTTCTCCATAATTTAGATTAGTTTTGTTTACCGCTTTTAACAACACATTAAATACCAATTATTGCAATGAGGGCTATCGTGGATGAATTCGCCGCTAGAGGCGCTTGTGTAGTATGAGGTCTCCGAAATATCAATGTTAGTGCTTGTGGGTTGTCTACGCGGGTTTATTTCTTATCAGAAACTGATTAATTATTAGCAAATATGAGTCACGTGTCAATGACTGTCAGTGATTTAAAAGCGGAGCTAAGAAAAAGAATTATTTCTTCCTTTTCTTCCGAAGAAAACGTAACTGCGCAACACTGTGGCATGGCCGATTACGTTTACGATACGGTTCTTTTGTATTAAAATATGATTTAAATGTAAACTTTGATTTAACGCGCTTTAACAAACTTTAAAAGCTGCACTCCAGGACCTCAATCAACAGTGGCGGCATCTGGTGAGACAGAAAACGGTAGCCCTCATAAAATAGACAATAGCACAAGTATATGATTTAATAGACGTAAATTGGAACATAATTAATTTGCGAATTTGAACGCTATTAAGCTGGGGCTTTTCTATGATTCCACAGTTCTTGAATTGATGGATCTGATTTTTCTCTTGGATTTATTAAGATTCTCATTTGCCATAGACAATATCTTTCTAATGTTCAAAGGTTTCAAAAACTTGTAGAGTCATATTTGGTTTTATAATTATATTTTCTCCTTCTGACTATATAGACGTTGATTCGTTTATTTTATTTAGGATAACCATCGGTACCCTTGGCATGAACCATTATGGAATCTATTTTTTACGTGAAATGTGAACTCATTTTTAGTTCTCTTTTCGTCTGTTGTGGCGCTGTTATTCAAGTTTCCATACAAAATTTGATTATGTCATTGCGTACTCGCAAACTATTCGAATTCGATATTGGTTCGTGCTAAGGGTACATATCATGTTATGGTAAAAAAAGTAAATATTTTGCTTTCATTCAAATAAAGTGTTAATCATTTATATCTGCAGTTTCATTATTTTCAAAATCGATCAAAAGCTTTATCACAACCTATTGTATAGTGCTGTCCTCATAATCATGAGGACTTTGAAAAGTCTGAGCAAAAAGCCGATAATTTTCTGGACTTCTTAGTCACAAAGTGGAAACAGTACTCAGTTTACGCTCGATTTACTAATAAAATCCGGACAAATTCAAGTCTTAAATTTCTGGAGATGTCCGGACTAATACGGACGGATGGTAACCCTAAGTGCGATTCAAATAGCGCAAGTTGCAGCGCTGTAAACAAAATGTTGTAACGCGCGGGGTTTACTTTCACTGAACTGTACCCCTACCACGAACCATTATCGAATTCAAATAGTTTGCGACTGCGAAATGTCAATGTCAAATTTTGTTTGGAAACTTGAACAGCAGCGCCACAAAGTACGTAACGAGAACTAAAAATCAGTACACATCTGACAATGACATTTCGGACTCGCAAACGTTACGAATTTCGTCTGATATTGGTTCGTGCTAAGGTTACTGAAATTACGCATGCTTGCTGCTCACTTCACCATTAAGATTGAATCGCTCGGTAAGCAGATACAAATGCAACGGTCTTCTTTGTAGTCGCGGGGGCAAATAGATTGACGATGATTTCGACCTAGAAAAATTCGTCTTCGGCCTACTGCAAAGAACCAAGGCCACATAAATCGCTGTGAATATGGTCATGCCCCCCTAGCGTGACTAACAAAACGCGATATGATAAAGCGATTTATCGACATTAACTGTCAAACTACAATGGAGTTTGACAGTTGAGTATCGATAAATCACATGCTAGGGGGGGGGCAGGAGTCGCTTCTCGATAAAACAATGGATAGAAAACACGCTAAAAAGCATTTTATTTCAATGCACCAATAATAGTATAAAACACACAGAATAAAGTATAAAAACTGAAATATATAGTGGTTTAAATATGCGTTCGTTTATCACAATATTAGAAAGTTTATACCTGCCGCATACCAGGACTTCGGAACACCACCACAACTGAAACAAAAAATACACTAATTATGACGTCACAAGACGCCACTGTCTATGGGCATATGTTTAGCTCATTAAGCTTCATACAATTGCGGGTGTGTGAGTTAGCACTGGCGGTCTGCCGCATACGCACAGAAACCTTTCTATTGGCGGCTATGGGTTGCCAGTGCTCAATCACAATTATATATTAATTAATAATAACATTTTTTTCAGATTATTCATCCATAATGGTTAGTAAAAATGAAGCTCACAAATCTAGTCCTAATAGTAAATCGAATGCAACAGAAAACAAAAATATTAATGACTAGCTTTTGCCCGCGACTTCGTCCACGTTATCGTCGTTTTTCGTAAAAAAAGTAGCATATGTCCTTCCTCAGGGTTCCGTGGTTTTGATGTGATAAACAGATTAACTTTCGTATTTTAGTAGGGAAATATAATACTGTTAAAAATATCGCAATAAGGAACCGCAGAATATTATTATTATCACTGTGCCCCGAGACCATCAGCGTGTAACTCCTTGTATGATATTATGTTAATGTATTGGTAATATTGTTTAGATCGCTTTCACATGAGTCTTAAGTACATATAGAATGAAAATACTTCAGCGCAAAGCTTCCGGGTAGACAACGTTGAAATTTGACCCGTCCGGAACTTGAACATAAAAAATTCTAGGATTGCTAACCCGGGAAAGACCGACATAACTGACCATGTGAAAAACAATTGACACCGAGATCTACTCCAACAACACGAAAGGCCTGCCCTTGAGCCTTATTATTGTCATTGCATAACACACCGATACTGGGAATTGCGTTCTTTTAAATTGGAATGGAAAATTATTTGGTATTATGGGAATTCTGGGAATAAAGATGGTTTCTCCTGCACCGCAACCTATTAAAATTTGAGCCTCGATTACATTTTGTTGCAACTGGGTTACTTTAAGCCGAGTTCCATTGCAAATTTGTGGTGGTCTTAAATTTCGGAGCAGAATAATCGGAATGCCAATTTTCAAACAAATGTCATGAGATGGAAGTTAGGGGTTATATTTAAAGAATTTAAAAATTCTATCGGGTAATTAGTGGCTTCTTGTTCATCGGCGATTCTATTTATTGAACTATAAACTTTGCTTTCCCCCTGGATATTCGACAGTATTTTATTATTAATCTCAGATGCCTGATCATTGGGAGGAGTTAAAATGGACCTTTCGCATAGCCAAGAATTGTTCTTATTTAATATATTTGTTACGTCACCGTAAACTGACGATGTAAGATGTTGTTGGGATTGCACTATACAACATAACTCAGGCGTCAGAATAAGTTTTCCTTGGTGTAGCAGTGGATAGGTATCTTTGGTGAAGGTATTTTCTTTAATAATATATCAGAAAATTCACGATCATCCGGGTTATCTACAGTTCTCACTCGCATGTTTATAGTCAAATGCACCGATTGTATATCACGCCACAAATAAGAGCTTTTCAGGCAAGCCCTAACCTCAGCAGCTCGGGTTCCCCGTGGTATTACCGTTAAGGTTTGTCGGAAATCACCACAAAATAAAACTGTGATACCGCCCATGGGTCGATCATTTTGTCTTATATCTCTTAAAGTTCTGTCTACCGCTTCTACTCCTTTTCGATGGGCCATCGTACATTCATCCTATATGATTAAATTACACTTTGAACGAATATTTAAACACTACCAAAACAACTAATACGTGGTCCTAACTTTAGCTACCTTACACATAAAATCTAAGTGACTATTTGAACTAAAATATTCTTATAGAATTATAACCAGAAATATATACAACTCACAACAAAAAAGAAATGAAAATAAAGCTGAAACGCCTGTGCAATACTATCTACCTATACCTCCTTCACTTAAAAATAAATACTTATAACTACTTTAATTAATAAAAGTACCTACGCTTAATAATTTTTAATTTGAACGAATATTTAAACACTACCAAAACAACTAATACCTGTTTTACAAAATAACAACAAAAGATATTCAAATAAACTATTTAAAGACTAAAAGTCGCGCTGATAAGCACGGTTTCGGTCTCCCAAGCGGAGGAG